ATTAATGAACGAATGAGAACATAAGTTGTGTGTATAAAGTGTATTTGATAGGCTCAGGCATTGAGTGCCGTGCTACGTGTACAACAACGGAAAAATCGGGTAGTCAACGTTACTTGTATCCAAGGTAACACACTTAAACAACATGTACAATCATTTTATAGTAAATGTACAAACAGTCGAAAATTAACAGAATAAATTCAAAATACGTTTGTTATGCCATCTCCACATAGCTCCCCCCAGAGTGTCCGGAGGTAACACTGGTTATATTAAAAATAATATGTGAGAGTACAGTGTGTGCATTTGTGTATAATAATTAGAAAAGCAATGCAGGAAAGTGGAGTATGGTATGACATGTACATTAATATTATACAACACGTTAATTTAAAAAAAAACTAGTGTGAATGTTGCATGACATGCCAAAAAAATAGGAAAATACAGTCATGCAATGCTTTGGTTGGTTGATAAAAAAAATAACGTGCAAAACTATTAATAATCACACAAGAAAATTGAATTGTTTATTCTAATGTGAAAAAAAAATGTTTTTTTTTTGAAAAAAAATAGAATTAACTCGTTAATTATAGTGTAAAAAAATATAATGTGACAATACGAGTTATTACGAAAAAAAATGTAGTTTATTATATGCACGTGTTAGAAGACCAAAAGGGTATAATAGCTTTTATTTAGGAGATTGAAAGTTTTTTAACAATATAATGTACATTAACAGCAATTTGTTGAATTCCGTTTTCTTTTTAATCAGCGAAATGTACATAGCGTTTAGGTTTATTCACGGCTCTGCCAGAACGTGTTAAACAAGTGGGTTTAACGGTCGGTTTCTGCTCCTCTACTGCTTTCTTGTGGCTTTGCAGGAGGTTTTGTTTATCGGTGGTATTGTCTTCTTTGTCGAGTTGAGTTTCGTAGAAAGCTGGTTTAATTCTATCGATAGCGATAGTTTCCTTCTTTCCACCTTTGTTGATTATGAAATGTTTATTAGTTCGTTTAATTACTTGATATGGTCCATCATAAGGTTGTTTCAGTGGCTTTTTAACCGCATCGACGCGAACGAAAACATATTTGCACGTCGTCAGATTTTTGTCAAGGTGTATGCGGTTATTATGCTCCCGCGGCGGTATGGCTTTTAGGTTCTGCATAGTTTGTAGCAGTTGACTAGCGAATCGGCCTGGGTCACTTGGTGCCGATGTGTCCGTGTCAACCAATTGGCCTGGCAATGTAAGTGTTGTGCCGGATAGGTACCGGTCTGAGGATCAAGTTAGACTTTTCTTTGCAGGCTTCTAGTTCTGCATCGTCTACTTGAAGTTTAGCAAGTGTTTCAAGGTTAATATCTGGTTTGCGTACCAGAGTGTTGATATCCCTGCGTGATAGTGCATCGGCGACAACGTTGCTATGTCCTTTAATATACTGGATGTCTGTGGTAAATTGAGAAATATAGTCAAGTTGCCTGGCTTCCCGAGGTGAATGGCGATCATATGATACGTTAAAGGAGTAGATTAAAGGCTTGTGATCAGCCTTTATAGTAAACGGACGTCCTTGTAATAAAAAACTGAAGTGTTTGACTGCAAGATAGATGCAAGATATCAACACTGGTACGCAAACCAGATATTAACCTTGAAACACTTGCTAAACTTCAAGTAGACGATGCAGAACTAGAAGCCTGCAAAGAAAAGTCTAACTTGATCCTCAGACCGGTACCTATCCCTTTCTCCAACGCATCGATAATCTGCGACGTATCAACTGGAAATCAGCGTCCCTTTGTACCTGAAGCCCGTCGACGACAAGTATTCCGACAGTTACACAAACTTTCGCATCCAGGGATACGAGCCACCACTAAAATGATAACGGAACGTTTCGTCTGGCCTAAAATCAACTCGGATGTAAAACGTTGGACCAGAAGCTGCTTACAGTGCCAACGTAGTAAGGTACAAAGACACACATTAAGTGTTGTTGGTAAATTTCCGCTTCCTGACAAACGCTTTCAACACGTTCATTTAGATATCGTTGGTCCATTGCCACCATCCAACTCTTTCACTCATATCCTCACCGCGGTTGACAGATTCACCCGATGGTCGATAGCATGTCCGATTGCAGATACCTCGGCAGAAACGGTAGCAGGAGTTTTTCTTGATCGGTGGATATCTAATTACGGAGTTCCCTCAATTATTACTACAGACCGTGGTCCCCAGTTCCAATCCGTTCTATTCCAGGAATTCGCTAAACTACTGGGAGTAAACCACATCAAGACCACAGCTTATCATCCAATAGCTAATGGTTTGGTCGAAAGATTTCACCGCCAATTAAAAAGCTCACTGATGGCACAAGCTGACACGACGAAATGGAGCGACGCATTACCGCTCGTACTCCTGGGAATTCGCTCAACCATCAAGGAGGACATCGGATGTACTTCTGCTGAGCTGGTCTACGGCACAACACTTACATTGCCAGGCCAATTGGTTGACACGGACACATCGGCACCAAGTGACCCAGGCCGATTCGCTAGTCGACTGCTACAAACTATGCAGAACCTAAAAGCCATACCGCCGCGGGAGCATAATAACCGCATACACCTTGACAAAAATCTGACGACGTGCAAATATGTTTTCGTTCGCGTCGATGCGGTTAAAAAGCCACTGAAACAACCTTATGATGGACCATATCAAGTAATTAAACGAACTAATAAACATTTCATAATCAACAAAGGTGGAAAGAAGGAAACTATCGCTATCGATAGAATTAAACCAGCTTTCTACGAAACTCAACTCGACAAAGAAGACAATACCACCGATAAACAAAACCTCCTGCAAAGCCACAAGAAAGCAGTAGAGGAGCAGAAACCGACCGTTAAACCCACTTGTTTAACACGTTCTGGCAGAGCCGTGAATAAACCTAAACGCTATGTACATTTCGCTGATTAAAAAGAAAACGGAATTCAACAAATTGCTGTTAATGTACATTATATTGTTAAAAACTCTCAATCTCCTAAATAAAAGCTTTTATACCCTTTTCGTCTTCTAACACGTGCATATAATAAACCACATTTTTTTTTCGTAATAACTCATATGGTCACATTATATTTTTTTTACACTATTATTAACGAGTTAATTCTATTTTTTTTCCAAAAAAAAAAAAAAAAACATTTCTTTTTCACATGAGAATAAACAATTCAATTTTCTTGTGTGTTTATTAATAGTTTTGCACGTTGTTATCTTTTTATCAACCAACCAAAACATTGTATGACTGTATTTTTCCTATTTTCTTTCGCATGTCATGCAACATTCACACTAGTTTTTTTTTTATATTAACGTGTTGTATAATATTAATGTACATGTCATACCATACTCCACTTTGCTGCATTGCTTTTATAATTATTATACACAAATGCACACACTGTACTCTCACATATTATTTTTTTTAAATAACCAGTGTTACCTCCGGACACTCTGCGGGGGAGCTATGTGGAGATGGCATCACAAACGTATTTTGAATTTATTCTGTTAATTTTCGACTGTTTGTACATTTACTATAAAATGATTGTGCATGTTGTTTAAGTGTGTTACCTTGGATACAAGTAACGTTGACTACCCGATTTTTCCGTTCTGTTGTACACGTAGCACGGCACTCAATGCCTGAGCCTATCAAATACACTTTATACACACAACTTATGTTCTCATTCGTTCATTAATACGCTAATCGGATTCTAATACGTATATTGTCTACATTTATAGACTACAGTCATACGTATAAACTACCTTACGGATATTTACATTAATTGTATTACTAATCTCCTATAATTGTGGATTTTTTAGTACCAATCACAACCGAACACGCACAAGCAGCCGTATAAAGTAACGTCCTTACATTTTTTGATTGTATTTATTACATTTAATCGATATATTTCAATATACATCTGTTTGTATTCAATAACTTTGTTGATATTTTGAAATAATACATTGATTGGTCCACCACAGGCCTTTCAGTGTCCATACTTTAGGTCACTCAACGCAGACACCACGGAGGAAGCAAGACACCACTCCTATTCCTAAAAAGACCAGTAAGCTAGTTAGGAATAAGAGAAAAAGACGCTCCAAGGCTCAGTCGACACAGTCCAACGCTTAGAAACAGCATAAGGATGGCTATTTTGCCTGCTGATTATCAGTCAAAATCAGCGACCGTGCTTACGAATGCAACTTCTATAGTACATTGGTACATTGTCACTGCGACACTACCGTACCTAAAGAGTACTACGGATTCATTCTGAGTCACACCTGCCCATGGTTTTGGTTCATTTGCCCTCGGTGTAGAGTATCTGAGGCACTTACAAAGCCATAGGTCCCACCCAAAATCAGCCCTAAAGTCCAAACGCCCAAATCATAATCGCCTGGCACTAAACCAGCAAAACAAGTGACCAAGGCTACAACAACCCTGCCTAACACACCGACAAAACTGCCGGTTGTTGTTAACCCCCCAGTATCTGCTAGCATTACAAAACAGTGGGTGAACGTCAAGAAGGGAATTAGCAACACCCCAACTCACAAGCGGCTACCACCCAAGAACAGGGACGACAGATCAAACTCATTTATTTTATTGAATGTCCCAGTATCGGAAGAATGCTTGCTAGAAGGCAGGGCTGCCTTCGTCAAAGAGCAGTGGGATAAACACTGCACAACCCTTGGAATGTGCAACGTCTATGCCAAAATATACCGCCTTTTTAAAGGCCTAAATTTTTCGATTTGCATTTTTTAACAACCTGTTAGCACGATATTGGGATTTTCGACGCACTATTGACCCCTGGGATTATGCCTCTACAAGTTTTCCTGGTTCTTATGGTGTAATAGATACTAGCGGCCGTATTACTTAACATGATACCAGGGAGACTAGGAGGTGAAGACCGAGATATTTAAAATACTAGATACACAAAAAAAGGGATTTCAGAAAGAAATTTAGTAGAATATAATAAAACTACAAGTACTCCTAAATTGCAACTTTACCTTTGACTGTATTGGTAACTTTGCGTGTATCCAGTAACTTGTTCACAAGTAAGTGGATCTATGTATGCTCCCGAAGCAACTACAAACAGAGCAGTTGAATGAGGCAGCTAGACCTACCGCACAATGGTTCTGACTTGGAATGGTTCCGTTTGCCCGAAAATGTTTTCAGACTGTCAAACAATGAACGGAGACAACTTTTGATAGCTCCGGAGGTGATAAAGTATCCCCAAAGTGGATTGTTTCCCGTAAATGGAAGAGAGTCTGCGAGGACACGTCAAACTCAAAGCGCGCGCGTCATAGTAGGCATAGTTGTATTGACTGGATTCGTGATATATTCCTCGACTTTAAGTATAATGTGACTAATGGCGTAAGCATCAAGGTCGAAAACTTACAGAAATATTTGTTATGGGGATTATTTACCACTATGAATTCAACTTGCTATGGAAAGTGTTTATGCTGCTGTGGGATCTCTGATTATAGTGCTCATTCTCAAAGACTAACAGCCAGAAATAGCATATGGAATCCACATAAACATCTAGAGCTGACTTTTGTCCCATGTCGTGTACTTTATGATAGGATCAGCAGATCTGACTGACAGCAGCACCGACCTCGGACCAACCTTGAGAGGTTTGAAGTCGGTTGAGTAGTAGCGTTCATCAATAGAGTTATCATATCTGTCCTCAATACTTTTTTGTCCAGTAATCAATTCTACGTCTGACTTGGTTTTAAAACTTTCACGGTCAGTTAGTGATGAATCATATGGTCGAAGATGAATGTTTAAAATGATTGACAAGAAGTTGGTTTTAAAACTTCCTAAAATGCTTTTAGGGTAAAGAGTAGCTTCCTAAAAACGTCTAAGTATATAGCTTATTGCTCGAAAATAAACGAACTTAACAAATGCTCTCTAACAACGTGTCAAGTGCAGCATATTTTCGTAAGATAACATAAAATTTAGTGCTAATGTTTCAAATCCAGAAATAATTCTTCAAAACGCTTTATGAACATGTTGACTTACATATCACACATAAGGAAATTCTCAGCGACAGTGATAATACTCCAGTGAATATTCAGCTTTTGGTGAGGTTGAAGTTAGCCTTCAGGCTATTTTTCGTTTCCAGGTGGTGTGGGGAATAAAGCTGGGTGAGAAAGCTGGAAAGAAAAGATTGCAGCATCAAAAGCGAGCAGTTGATTCTGTTATCATACAGTAAAAGTAACTGATGAGAACTGGTGTCAAAATACCGGAGTCTGATATTTCAAAATAGAAGTTGATAATGTGAAGGTTTCAGTTGTTTCGAAAGTGATCTACAACCATCCTTATGATTTTTGTCACTGAGAAGTTTCAGTGCTGCATAGAATTCATCAAAAAGTGCTGATATTGCGTATATTTGTCCGCAAACCTAGTATTACATGACTATACACAAGAAGACAAGCTTGAAAATCACAGTATCTCTTCTCCACCTATGAAGTTCTTAAGAATGCTCTTCAGGTGGTCAGTTTTAGGCGAAATTCGAGGGTTAGGGGTAGGAATGTTAGGACAGTCACAAATTATAAGGTAAGCTAGCACCAGAGCATTGTTTACCTGCAATAAGTTATCAGAGCATGTCTGGGTATATCATCATCAGAAAGTTTAGTAACACATTTCGCTACTTTGGTTCCAGTTCGTTGGAAACATCAAGTATATCCAACTCATATTTTGAGCATGGTGTCGTAGACCCCATCCCGAAAAAATGTAACTCGCTGAGAATCGCTAACCATAAAACATTATATAAACCATTTTTACTCTGCCTTGTGATTTAAAAGGTCTTCATTCAGAAGAGTAATGACGTCTCATGATGACTGCCTAGTTCCTTCCAGAGTCACGAGGCTAATGCCCCTTCTCACAACCGAAGAAAGTAGTAAACATCATACGGAATCCTTATGATGGATCACACTGCAAAATCCTGCACGGAGGACAGCTGACAGACTCGTTCGAGGTGAAGACTGGTGTCAGGCAAGGTTAACTGCTCTCACCCTTTCTCTTTCTCCTGGTGATCGACTGGATTATGAAGACGTCAAAATCTGGAGGGAAGCACAGTATCCAGTGGACAGCTACGATGCAGCTGAACGATTTGGACTTCGCAGATGATCTGACTCTTGCATTTCACGCGTAACAACAAATGCAAGAGAAGATGACCAGTGTAGCAGTAGCCTCTGCAGCAGCAGGTCTCAACATACATAAAGGGAAAAGCAAGATTCACCGACGCAACTCAACATGCGTCAGCTAAATCACTCTTGAAGGAGATGCCTTGGAGGACGTTGACACCTTTGCATATCCGGGCAACTTCATCGACAATCAAGGTGGATCCGAAGCAGATGCAAGGGCGCGGAAGGGCAAAGCAAGGGCTGCATTTCTACAATTGGAAAGCATATGAAACTCCAAACAACTATCAGCCTAATAATTAGACGTGTAATTTTGAATTTACGGTAAAGCGTCCGTGTAAAATTGTAGTTGCATAGTCATAAAAATAATTTATTATCAAGTAACAATATGTTACAAGAGGCCTGTCAACTTACTGGCAAGATCGAAATATTAAAAATGCTAACATATTTACTGCAATTGGTTATTCAGTTGGACAAATATTTCTAAAGATACACTGGATTTTTATAAAAGGCTAATATTTTTCAGAATGTGAATGAACTGTAAATAATTTTAACGTTAATATTTCAGGCATAGGATAAGGTGCTGATAAAAAGAAATAAGGAGAAAGAGGTGAGGAGCTAAATGGAAAATATTCTTGTTTCACGCTGTTATGTTTCCTCAGATAATTTTTTTGATAATACAAGTGTATGATTATGCAGATTATTCTTTTTCTGTATTGGAACATTAACTGTATACCTGCTGTAATAGTCAACTTGAATGAATTATTGCTATCCTTCTCAGTGATCATAAAAGAGTGAGTACATATTGACTGCTCTCAAGGTCGCTTAGTTCTATAAACGGCTTCTAGTTGAACTGCACTTTCAGGCAATAACTTTTTGAAGCCTATTCCGAAGCTATCATATGCATGTATGCATGAAATTTCTTCATGGTAATTCCTAATATTTCTTGAAAGATTAAGTTAAAAGTATGTTCATTCCTGAATACTAGCAAAGAATCACGTTAACGTCCCAACCCAAACAGTTTTCATTCTCTACTTCGATTGGAATGTTGAGATTTTCATGTGAATCCGTCCCAGATATTCACTACTTGACGAGGCTATTATCCGTGACACCTTAATCAATCGAAGATCACAAATCCAGTCAAACTGATGCAAGGAATGGAAGAGGTTATTATTAATCTTGAAAGATACCTAGGGTTTTGAAAAGTATATGAGCTTGACTGACCGCTGCAGTTCACACCATCCCTAGTAAGGTAATGGTGACCCTTAGAATTGACCGACCAGAAGTTCAAACTCACATTGCGTGACTATGCTAAACACTCTTCATGGGGGTTGCTTTATCAATCAGCGTTTGATTGTCTCTTTCTATTCTGAGGAGTCTAGTGGTATACAAAAACAATATTCTCAAATGACAACGTGTTACACGAGGCATGCCAGTTCACAGGCAAGACCAAACTTTTACAAATGCTACCACATTTACTGTAAAAGGTTGCAGAGTTGGCTTGACAATAAGAGTCTTTTACACACAGCAAGTTGGCGTCATTCCACCGATAGGAGCAGTTTGATACAGCCACATTTTCAATAACAGATTACAGAAAGAGTATGTGCCCAGAGGATAACCAGGTAACCTTACTTATCTCAAATAACCCGTCGTTCTAAGTCTAGTTTTGCGGAAACCAACGAAGCTTCGCTCTGGTTGTTACTGGTCGAGGGTTGCATTATAGTCCTAGGGATCATTTTGATGTTGAGAGAGGTGGGTTTCAGCCGGTCGACGTTAGTGTTTTCGTTACTACTAGTTCTTTCAATCGTTTAGTGTATAGATGCGCTATGAAGAACTTTATGGTTCCTTCACATGCAGCTTCATATGGTCTACGTAATTACTCTCGACGTATGCAAACGTGTGCGCTGTCGTTAAACTAGTTGGACGAATGTGTAGCATGATGAATTTTCGTGGAAACAGGTTTGGCTCAGAGGATTGTACCAGTAAGCCTTCTCGTGTAGAATTTAGATCTACAATTGTGGAGGCAAATAACGAATTCACGAATTCTCCTGAGAGCTGGAGCGACCTGCTGTAAACGAGTTCGGCTGCAGTATCGCACACTACACGTCAGCTTTCACTGCTTTGCAAACTGTGAGTGACACAAGTGGAAGAGTGTCTGTTTACTAGGACACGTTCTTAGCTGAAAGTGAGGCTTACTTTAGATTTTTAGGATCTCACACAGGAACGAGCTCAATCACTAACGTCACTGTTCATTTGAGGCCAGCCAAAGGGTTCTGCTACCAGCGAAACGGTTGACTGGACACTTAAATGAGGAATTCTTTAAGCCTTTAATGAAGATAATAGGCTGAAAATGTTACGACACGATTGAATGACCCTTATTCATAGATATCTCACAAAGTAAGGTTTCCTTACTAGCTCCCATCGCTCTGAATCATAAATTCAGGGTTGCCAGTGATAGTTTATGCTGAGGATCAGTGTCGTCTTTCTGAAGTTTTAGAAGGTCGGTTATTGTAACATCGTTTAAGGAAGTTAGAGGAAAGAATATAGAGCACCTGCACCTACACTTTTTACTGCAGAAGTAGGTTGTATATCTTAGGAAAGCTGTGAGATGTAGTCGGGTGGTCAGGACTTTTCTGTAGCTGGTTATTCCACTGCATTGTTTCGGAATAGTACGACTATAGACCGCACCTTTTAAAGTAATTTATAGGAAAATAGCCTCCGTCGAAGATTCGTCGGCCAGTCATCTCTCTTATACACAGTAATATTTGTATTGTCAAGCTATATTGTTGTTCTATTTTGCGTAAAAGTTGTTCTGATATACCTAGACCTTTGAATCTCTTAATGTTGCTAAGTATCACCAGCAAACATGCTAGGTGTAACGTGTGTGTTCAACTCCCACGGCAGTACCATCATTATAGCCAGGAAAGGCTCAGTCGGGTTTCTTAGGCTGTGCTTGTGGAAGTCAGCATCCACGTAGCAATACCGGACTCCGATGTTTGTTGGTCAGAATGTCGTGATCTGAAAGTTTGCGAGCGCAAGAGACTTGATCTTAGGGCGCTTTGGCGCGTGGTCCGACACACAATAGAATGAATATAAATATGAGAGGGAAAAAATGTGAAGGAAATTAATATTAAGATATGTAAAGTTACATAAATAAATATAAAGCTGTAAAAAGGGGCGGACGCATAGTATCCAACCGAGTGGACTCGGTTACTTTAAGCTCAACAGTGAAGACATCAAGGATGTGCAGAGTTTGACTGCTCCAACATCCGCAACAATTTTCGGTTCGAAGGTACTCAAAATCACGTCAAACCAGAAGTGAGGAATGAGTGGGATAGACAAACCATCTCAAACGATGCATCTACACCACTCCCATCAAGGCAATCCTCGAAAAATTGCTCATCAAAGAGCGAATACCCGGATTCGTGCACATTTTTTCGATTTAAGAGTCGTTGCAACTTGGAACTCTTTCCTAGCGGAGGTGACCATAGCCACCTTAGAGGACACCTTTAAGAAGAAACTTGATAAACATGCACTCTCATACGGATTATCATCTCCCTCGTGGATAAGCCGTGCCTGGGGCATGTCTTGAAACTTGCTATTTGTTATTATTGCCATCTCCTCAGATCACTAACTTAATCTATCGCTTTTCATTCAAATCACGAGATATACAAACTCACCAACCAACTGCCAACTGATTAGAATTAGACAGTCGAGTGGCTGGACCCTCATCCATTGAATACTAACAAGCACCTGGAACCGTAACTAACGAAGAAGAATCGAGAGCAAAGCAATCAACTGGTTTACATTAGCTTGCGAAAAAGATATTGGATATTGGAAGAAAAATTTTGATTCAGCGGAACGTTTGCGCAGTGCGTCACTTGATGGAATCTGGAGCAATTACTGTGGCTGTCAATCTATTCAGAGAAACCTTTCCCAGTTTGGATGATGATATTTCTAACTACATAGAAAGTAAAAAACGCCTAACTTTTAGCTTATTTCTTTAGGTATTCTCATTGAAAATGCTGAGCATTTTGACTCTGAGGGTGACGTACATGACGCGATCGGTGGGGTTTTGGATGGGTTTCATAGTCAAAATAGCGATCAAGAAATAAAAGTTCTGTGCAGAAAAATATTTCAACTGATGAGGCCGTAAGTTTTCACATTTTTTACGTTATTGGCACAGTTCTGACGAATTTACTGAAAGGCAAACAACTTTGGATGCTCCAGTACAGATGGCAAGTTTACTGGATACATTCAGTGAAAGAGTGGTTGACAATTCTAGTATTTGGATGATGAAAAAACAAAACAGTACTATCGTCGATTCTAAAAAATTAGAGAAGGCTGAGGCTAAAATAAAAGAAAAACAACAGAAGAAAGCTCTCATTGGAAGGCCCGGCAATGCAGGGTTTGTCATATGTTGTAGTTAAGTATTAATTCTTAGGAGAGCCATCGAAGTCAAAGAAGATGAACGTGCTACAGTTAGTCAACAGATAGACCGACGAGAACTATCTTCGTCACATGTAGTTTCCCACGTGGGTGATATTCGGTTAGAAAATTTTGACATCGCTTACGGTAGCAGGTAGGTTTTCGAAAGAATTTAAAGCATAATAGCTTAATTTATGTGTATTTTCTCATATAAGGTGCCCAACGGTGTAGTCTGTTAAGCTTAGGACACAATAACGTCTATATGAATAAAAACAGAAATTCACCTAGTGGCATAGGTAAGAACAACTAGTACTGCAATCGTATTGAGACTGTCAAAGTTAATCTTTGCCCTACCATCAAAGTAGTCTAGTCGCCAGTGCTCAAATATACATTGGTCACATACTGCGTAAAATTTACGAGGAATGCATAGCCGTTGCTGTACCTTAAGACTATCGCAATGTGTTAGGAAAGCAGATAGATCGTGAAGTAATGGAATCAATAACGAAGTTTCAATATGTTTGAATAAAATAAAAATATGAAAGTAGGCCTTTTTATGTCGAAATTTTGTTTTGTATTCCCGATTACTAACTCTTAAGAGATTCTTTCAATACACGACATGATCTGTCAGCTGGATAGACTAATCATTTAATACACTTCTGAAGTAACTTCCCTCCAAAAGGGAGCGAAAAATAATTGTGAAAAAGATGTATTCTTTGTCCCTCCATAAGAATTATTCTTTACTTTCAAGTTCATTGGTTTCATATCGACTACAACCATGTAAAAATCTAAAACCCACTCAGTTGACCATTTCCAGGTTGTGCATAACACAAATATTTCACAAAGTAAGGTATACAACCAATGCGTGAATGGATCTAAATTCTAAAACCTTGGGGTATAGCCATTTCCGGAATAAAACTTTTAACAGATGTTTTTATATGACTACTTGGTACATATTACTAATTATTGTAGAAGCAAGTTGAAAAAAATCGAACCAAGTCCTAATATCAGTCATTAAAGTAATCAGTTGTCGCTATAAGGTATATGCGGGAGTATAGACTTCCTAGTTATGGGCAGCGCAATAGGAACTGTGGGTGATAAGACTGAAATTAGTCAATCATGTTGAATGAACGTCTTAGTTGAAATTTTCAATATATATAAATACTTTGTAAAAAATCCCCGACCGTAGCTGCTACATTGACATGGTGGTCAGGCTTGCTTATCGTGATGATCCCACCGAGCTATATTGGCTGGAACATATGTTTCTGAAGGTTCTACCATGCCAGCAGTTGTCTGTTGGAGCATTTAATGTACGGACATTGTGTCAAATAGGACAACAGACATCATTAGCTAGGACATTAGAATCTTGCTCAATCGATGAATGCTGCGTCTCGGAAACGCGCATACAGGATCCTAGTAAAGTCTTTAATTTGATTTCACCTTATCAAAATAAAGAAGCAGCCCGATTTACTCTTTGTGTATCCGATAGCCCTGATGCTGCTTCCCGGGGTCTCTCTGGCGTAGGTATAGCATTAAGTCGTAGGGCAGAATTAGAGCTCTTAGACTGGATCCCAGTAGACAGTTGCTTGTGCGCTGTCCGACTGAATGGGACAGTAAGGACTCGTAAAAATAGGGACACCCGTAGTTGCCTCTTCGTCGTATCTGCCTACGCCCCCACTGACCACAGTTCAGACTATGTGAAAGATGAGTTTTACAGAAAGCTTTCGGACCTCCTCGAAAAAGCTAGGCGCTCTGACATAATAATAATGGCTGGTGACTTCAATGCTCAAGTAGGTAGACTAAGTGAAAATGAAAGACACCTAGGTGGATCTTATGGTGTCGTGGCTCAGAGAACAGACAATGACAACCGTCTGTTGCAACTGTGCTCAGATAACCTCCTATTTCTAGCAAACACTAACTTTAGGCATAAAGAAAAACATCTTTTGACCTGGAGACCCCTAAAGCCGTCTCAACGTTGGACACAAGTAGATCACATCGCCATCGACCACCGATGGTCCAGAAAGACAACTATTGTAGGTTGCCTAAATGTGTGTGTTCCAGGACCTATCGTAGTGTGAAGATGTGGTCTATACAACCACGTCCAGGTCGGAAACCAGACTGGTTTTCTCGAGTCCGCTCTTCACGAGCTCTAGTTAGGCGTCGAAGTATAATCGAGGCTAACAATTTAGAAACTATATTAGTTAGACTTATTCCCCTGTGGTTGCCACAAGAGGACTTTTGTCCGTTCTTGTAGATTGGGACAATTAGCGACTGAGACCAGACAGATGGGATTACGTCCAGTTCCCAGATTCTACCAATGATCTCGGTCAGTCTAACTTTTAAAAGTGGACCACCATCCTTAAACATCTCAGGGGTAAGCCTATCAGGACCTGCTGCTCTACCTCCCTTTAGATTTCCTATAGCTTTCTCAACTTCATGTAGACTGGGAGGACTTAAATCGATTTGCCATTCAGGATGACTGGGGATCGTGGGTAACCGAAGTGTGGCTGAAGACCAGTTGAACTGATCCTTAAAGTGTTCTGCCCATCGATCCAATCTCCTAGATTGAGAATGAATAATAAGACCTTCCTTTTCCGAGATAGTCTCACATTTGGGTTCCTAATAACAATTTCCTTGATAAGGCGGAACAACTGTCTACTGTTGCCTATCGCCGATGCCTTTTCCAGATCTCGCGTCTTCACTACCCACCACTGTTCGCGGTCGCTTCGTAGGCGTTTTATCAGCCTGCGCCTAAGCTGTCTTCGCTCTCCATCATGTTCAGAGTCAGGTGGGATGCGTTTTCGAGCATCCTTCAGATCAGTAGATACTACTGAGATCCACGGCTTCATTCTAGCCTTATGGTTTACCTTACTCGCAGATATCACTGTTGTTTCCACAGCCTTCTTGATATCATTCCAACCTGCCTCCGAATGGGAATCGCTTACATGGTTGCGTAACTGTTTTTCTAGTTCCTCCTGAAATATATTCTTAGCTTGATCATCATTAAGTAGAGCCCTAAGAGGTTTCCTTGCGGTGTCTCTCCTACATCCAGTAAGCCTCAAACAAATACGCGCTCGCACTAGAGCATGATCTGAATCCAAACATGTGCCCCAGAACGAGCGACAGTCCTCTATCGAACCCATCCCCATCGGTGGTCGATGGCGATGTGATCTACTTGTGTCCAACGTTGAGACGGCTTTAGGGGTCTCCAGGTCAAAAGATGTTTTTCTTTATGCCTAAAGTTAGTGTTTGCTAGAAATAGGAGGTTATCTGAGCACAGTTGCAACAGACGGTTGTCATTGTCTGTTCTCTGAGCCACGACACCATAAGATCCACCTAGGTGTCTTTCATTTTCACTTAGTCTACCTACTTGAGCATTGAAGTCACCAGCCATTATTATTATGTCAGAGCGCCTAGCTTTTTCGAGGAGGTCCGAAAGCTTTCTGTAAAACTCATCTTTCACATAGTCTGAACTGTGGTCAGTGGGGTCAGTCAGTTCAGTCAGTTGCAACGTAGAACTTCGTACGTAAGTACATCAGTTCATGTCGCCATACCACATCAGCACAGAGATATAATTGTCAATTCAAATACAATAGTAGAAGAGGTAGTAAAGGTATTAGAAGTAATCGTAGACGTTAGAATTAGAAGATATTATTCACGAAGTATGATTCGATGAGATAAGTTTAGAAAGTAAAAGCTAGAGGTGCTGAAGAACCCAAAAGATTAGGATTTGAGAGAACACAAAGAATAAATGCACTGGCGCCATTGCGAACGATTTTGAGCCATGTCATTCAAGGTCTCTAACCATCGATTATTATCATCTCGCGGACCCCAACCAGGTAGTCGACAATTACCGACATGGCTAAGTCCACTCGTCAATGACTTCATGGATTTCTGCCATGTTTTGGTTTGGCCGCCCCTAACTTTCTGCCAACCTATTCCTACACCACAAAACAAAGCTCGACGAGGCAGTCGGTGGTTAGGCATACGCAACACGTGTCCCAACCACCTCAACTGATGAAGTTTCACCACTTCATCGATTGATCTTCCATTCTTACCTAGTACCCGTTTCCTAATAACAGCGTTGCTAACTCGGGTGTCCCACGATATACGAGCAATGCTTCGAAGACACCTATGATCAAAAACCAATAACCGACGAGTATCTTCTACTCTCATTGGCCATGTTTCACAGCCATAAAGTAAGACGGAGCGAACCACTGCGCAGTACACTCGTCCTTTAGTCAGCAAACGGATATCTCGCCTACGCCATAAGTGACGCAGGTTGGCAAAAGCCAATCGAGCCTTCTGTATCCGTGCCGAGATTTCGTCAGTCACCAGGCCATCGGCACTGATGAGACTCCCAAGATAAGTGAAGCGGTCCACACGTTCGACCACTTCACTCCTTATCACTAGTTCAGGTGCCGATGACACCCAATCTTGAAGCAACATTTTGCATTTGGAGGGGGAAAACCGCATCCCGAACATGCTTGCATTGTTGCTTATGGTAGTCAGAAGACTCTGCATTTTGTCAGCGTCTTCACCAAGTAGGACAATGTCATCGGCATATTCTAAGTCAATAAGCGAGCCATCCGGTAAAAGGTCTACTCCTGAAAATTCAGACGAGGATAAGGTAATTTCTAGGAGCATGTCTATGATAAAATTAAACAAGAATGGAGAAAGTGGACATCCCTGACGGACACCACTTGAAGTAGAGAATTCCGGTGACAGTTCGCCATAAGCTCTCACTCGACCAGTGGTGTTTGAGTAGAGAGCTTGTATGAGGTTAATGTACTTCTTTGGTACACCTTTCAATGACAGACACTGCCACAGAACCTCACGATCCACAGAGTCAAATGCCGCCTTAAGGTCCAGGAAAACAACTATTGTCGGACGCCTAAATGTGTGTCTGTGTTCCAGGACCTGTAGTAGTGTGAAAATGTGGTCTATACAGCCACGTCCAGTTCGAAAACCAGATTGGTTTTCTCGAGTTTGCTCTTCACGAGCTTTCGTTAAGCGTCGAAGTATTACTGAGGCCAATATTTTAGATACTATATTAGTTAGACTTATTCCTCTGTGATTGTCACAAGAAGACTTCTGTCCTTTCTTATAGATTGGGACAATCAGTGATTGAGACCAGTCGGATGGGATTACGTCCAGTTCCCAGATTCTACCTAAGATCTCAGTCAACCTAGCTGCTAAAACTGAACCACCATCCTTAAATATCTCAGGGGTCAGTCTCTCAGGACCCGCAGCTCGTCCTCGCTTCAGATTTCCTAACGCTTTTTCAACTTCATGAAGACTAGGGGGACTTAGGTCGATTTGCCATTCAGGATGACTGTAGATCGTGGGTAACCGAAGAGTGGCTCGAGGCCAGTTGAACTGATCCGTAAAGTGTTCTGCCCATCGATCCAGTCTCCTGGATTGAGAATGGATAATAAGACCAGCCTTTTCCGAGATAGTCACACTCACATTCGGGTTCTTAATACCAGTTTCCTTGATAAGTCGGAAAAGTTGTCTACTGTTGCCGATCGCCGCTGCCTTTTCCATCGCTTTTGCTTTCGCCACCCACCACTGTTCGCGATCGTTACGTAGGCTTTTCATAAGTCTGCGCCTAAGTTGACTTCGTTCTTCATCATGCTCAGAGCCAGGTGGGATGAGTTTTCGGGCATCCATCAGATCGGTGGATGCTACTGAGATCCACGGTTTCATTCTAGCCTTATGGTTTACCTTACTCGCAGATATCACTGCTGTTTCCACAGCCTTTTTGATATCATCCCATCCTGCTTCCGGATGGGAATCGCTTAAATGGTCGCCTAACTGTCTTTCTAGTTGTTCCTGAAATATATTTTTCGCCTTATTATCATTAAGTAAAACCCTAATAGGCTATCTTACGGTGTTTTTCCTACGCCCAGTAAGCTTCAAACAAATACGCGCTCGCACTAGAGCATGATCTGAATCTAGGCATGTGCCCCAGAACGAGCGACAGTCCTCTATCGAACCCCTCCATCGGTGGCTGATGGCGATGTGATCTAGTTGAGTCCAACGTTGAGACGACTTTGGAGGTCGCCAGGTCAACAGATGCTTTTCCTTATGCCTAAAGTTAGTGTTTGCTAAGAATAGGCGGTTGTCTGAGCATGTTTTGCAACAGACGGTCACCATTGTCTGTTCTCTGAGCCGCGACACCATAACATCCACCTAGGTGTTTCTCCTGCTCACTTAGTCTACCTACTTGAGCATTGAAGTCACCAGCCATTATTATTATGTCAGAGCGCCTAGCTTTTTCGAGGAGGTCCGAAAGCTTTCTGTAAAACTCATCCTTAACCTCGTCTGAACTGCATTCAGTGAGGGCATAGGCAGATACGATGAAGAGGCAACGGCGATTGTCCCTATCTTTCCGAGTCCTTACTGTCCCGTTTAGTCGGACAGCGCACAATCGACTATCTATTGGGATCCAGTCAAGGAGAGATTGTTCTGCCCTACGACTCAATGCTATGCCTACGCCAGCAAGACCCCTGGAAGCAGCATCAGGGCTACCGGATACACGAAGAGTAAATCGAGCTGCTTCTTTATTTTGACATGGTGTCGCCAAGTGTATGACGCGACTGGGATCCTGTATGCGCGTTTCCGAGACGCAGCGTACATCGATGGCACGAGATTCTAAAGTCCGAGCTAAGGAAGCCTGTTGTCCTATTTGACACAATGTCCGTACATTAAAAGCTCCAACATGTAGTCTAGAGCGAGGTTTAAGGAGACCAGGAACGACGTTTCGCGAACTCGTATCGTCTGCATTAGCTGTGCACTGTGATGAATGAATGTGAGAAGAGTTAGTCGTGGAGATAAGAGAGGTACTAGGAGGTGTAGGAAGGATTTGATTTTGACCAATTTGGTCTCGCGTGCTGTTATGGGTATGAGGGCGGTTGTCACTTCCAGGCTGCCCACACCGTGGAAGGTTGTTTCTTGAGGAACCTGAAAAGGAAGATGGATTAGTGTTGGTGCGTGACCGCAGAGTCCAAGGGACAACTGCTTGAGGCCGGTCACGCACGGCCTTTTTATGAAATGTTTTTTGAGGATTAGCTCCGTTCTTAAAGGCCCTTAGTGGGCACCCTTACCCAAGGAGACGGAAATCCGTGAGTTAGGGGAGGTGTGACATTTTTAGGGCCGACCTTTTCTAACCCTTCCTTCCTTGTGAGAAGGCAGCATCGCTGCAGATGCTGGTTGTCCGAGAGAAACACCTTACTGCTGTCACACCCCTCTGCAGTCAGCAGTACGACTTCGCCCTCAGACCTTGGGTAGCTGCTTTTAGTCTCATCGTTCTCCAATCGACCTGCCTGGCATGGTAGGACCTGCAGGAACATATGTTCCAGCCAGTATAGCTCGGTTGGGTCATCACGATAGGCAAGCCCGACCACCACGTCAAGGTAGCAGCTACGGTCGGGGGTCAGTGGGGGCGTAGGGAGATACGACGAAGAGGCAACTACGGGTGTCCCTATTTTTTTACGAGTCCTTACTGTCCCATTCAGTCGGACAGCGCACAAGCAACTATCTACTGGGATCCAGTCTAAGAGCTCTAGTTCAGCCCTACGACTCAATGAAGGAATATGAATAGAGTTAGTCGTGGAGATAAGAGATGTATTAAGGGTTGTGGGAAGGATGTGTTTTTGGCCAATTTTGGTCTCGTGTGTTGTTACGGGTATGAGGGCAGTTTTCACTTCCCGGCTGCCCACACCGTGGAAGGTTGTTTTTTGAGGAACCTTGAAGTACCGTCATAATTTAACTCAACCTTATACAAGCTCTCTACTCGATCACTACCGGTCGGGTAAGAGCTTATGGCGAACTGTTTCGGAATTCTCTATTTCAAGTGGTGTCAGCCAGGGATGTCCACTCTCTCCATTCTTGTTTAATTTTGTCATAGACATGCTCCTAGATATAACATCATCTTCGTCCGACTTTTTAGGAGTCGACATTCTACCGGGAAAATCGCTTACTGACCTAGAATATACCGATAACATGGTTCTTTTCGGTGAAGACGCTGACAAAATGCAGTGTCTTCTGACCACCCTAAGCAACGATGCAAGCATGTTCGGGATGCGGTTTTCCCCCTCGAAATGCGAAATGTTGCTTGAAGATTGGGTTGCATCGGCACCTGAACTAGTGATAGGGAGTGAAGTAGTCGATCTTTTCCGTCATGACAGCACTGGTAAATAAATATTTATAACTCGACTTCGACATTCATGCATTTTTCTACTTTGCTTGACGTACCTAGTTTCTCTGTGAAATGATATGTCGTATACTTACTCGGCTTTTAACCAATATGTTACTAGTTAGTACCCAGCCCTCGCTGTCGATTTAAACAACCGACTAGCAATACTTATTCTCACAAAACGGTGTGGCTTAAAACTGAGTATATAAATCAGTACATAGTAACTGAGTTCGTCAATTCGTCCATACTTTGGGATCCTTGTCTGTTGATAAGTTACATCACGAAGGATTTGTAGTATAACCAACCATTTGATACCCTGATTCTTAGATCATGGTTACTTACCTTATACTGAGCATTAAACGAGCAAGCCAAACTTAGAATTTTGCAATTATCATTATTACTTACTTGGTTTTGTTTATTTCCCCTATCTTTTCGAAAGATTATCTCATTCTTTGTATTTATTTTCAGAGTTCTATTACAAGGTGCTAACCTGTCTCTCACCTACGGTAAGAGGTATGGTTTAGTGGGACGAAATGGTTTCGGTAAAACAACTTTGCTTCGATCGTTAGCTAAGTAGGTGTTAGCTTTTTCACTTTTTCTAAGTAATTTGTGTGTTATATATTGATTTTGGATTTCATCAATTCATAAGGTTAAAACATATAGTGAAATTACTGTGTAACTTTTCTGTCTAGTTTCTAGTAAAACCTGTTCAAAAATGTAACATTTTAAAAATGACAAATATGCTTCGGTCCAAGTAGTAGCCAAATAAGTTGAGAGCTCCATTCAAACTTAGTAAACTACTTTTAATTAGTATATTAGTGTTGAAGTTAAATTAGGTAATAGTAAGTCACTCCTTTAGAAAAGGAAAAACACTTTTTATGGATGTAAAGGAAAAACGAATAGATAAATTGTTTCTATCCTATAGGTTTTCCTGACCACATATTTTATTCTGTTATCTCTTTCCTTGATATCGATTTATTCTTAGTCTTATTTTATTCTTAAGATTATGTTATTATGGTACACAGCTCTTTTTCAAACCTTTTGTTTTTTTTTCTGGTCATTGACTTTACAGCTGGGTTTTTTACGAGGTGGGAGAGCTAACCTTATGGCTGAACCTCTTCCTTTGCTTAGGGCAAGAGACCAATACTGGGCCTAAAAGTGTTTGCGACGTAGTTATTCTTAAACCACCTTATTTCTAGAAAATCCTTTTGGTATTTTGAATTGATCTAAAGATCAATGACATCTTTTTTTTAGATGGGGTTGCACTTAATGCTATTCACGTATACAGCTATTTTAATCCAAATACTATCATAACTAATTCTGATCGTATGTATTATGGTACTCCAGATTCTCTAAGAATTTGCTGTATATAAATCCGCCTTCGATTCTGTTGTATACTCATTCAGTCAGTTAGTCAACAACAACGTAGAACTTCGTACGCACGTACATCAGTTCAAGTTGCCATACCGCGTTAGCACAGAGACGCAATCGTGAATTCAAATCCTATAGTAGTAGAGGTTGAAGAAGTTTTAGCAGTAATCGGAAATTTTAGGGTTCGACGATATTATTCAACAATTAGAATCTAATGAAATAAACTTAAAAAGAGGAAAATAAAGGTGATGAAAAATTCAAAAGATAAGGATTTAAGAGCACATGCGCCATTGCAAACGATTTTGAGCCACGTCGTTCAAGGTCTCTAACCATCGATTACTATCATCTCGCGAATCCCAAAGAGGTAGTCTACACTTACCAATATGACCCAATCCACTTGTCAGTGACTTCATGTATTTCTGCCATGTTTTGGCTTGGTCGCCCCTAGCTTTCTTCCAACCTACTCCTACACCACAAAACATAGCTCATCGAGGCAGTCGGTGGTTGGAAATTCGTAGCATATGTTCCAATCACTTCAACTGATGAAGTTTCAATACTTCTTCCATTTATCTGCTACCCTTACCTACGGACCGTTTCTTATTAATGCCAGTATCTCAGACACTATATTAGTCAGACTGATTCCTCAGTGGTTGTCACTCGAGGACTTTTGTCCTTATAAATCGGGACAATCAGTGATTGAAACCAGTCAGATGGGATTTCGTCCAGTTCCCAAATTCTACCTAAGATCTTAGTTAATCTAACTGCTAAAACTAAACCACCGTCTTTAAAAATCTCTACATTTAACTTCTTTGAGCTCACTGCTCTCACTCGCTCTAGATTTCCCATAGCATTCTCAACTTCATTAAGAGTCAGAGGACTTACGTCGATTTGCCATTCAGTATGACTGGAGATCGTGGGCAGTCGAAGTGTGTCTGAGGGCCAATGGGACTGATCCCTTAAGTGCTTTACCCATCGATCCCATCTCCTGGATTGAGAATGGATAATAGTTCTATCCTTTTCCGAGATAGTCTCACTTACAGTTGTATTCCCAATACCGGTTGCTGCGTTTTGGATATCATTCCAAGCTGCCTCGTTGTTGGCATAATTCACATAGTTGTCTAACTGGTTTCCTAGTTGCTCCTGAACTACATTCTTATCTTTGCTATCATTTAGTAGAACCTTAATAGGTTTCCTTGTAGTGTCTTTCATACGTCGAGTAAGACGAGGACAAGTACGAAATCGTACTAGGGTATGGTCTAACTCTAAACATGTGCTGCAGAATGAGCGACAGTCTTCTATTGTGCCTGCCCATCGATGGCTGATAGTGATGCTGTCTAGCAGTGTCCGACGTTGAGTTGTCTGTGGGAGTCGGCCATGTCAAAAGATGTTTTTCCTGATGCTTAAAGTTAGTATTTGCTAGAAATAGGCAATTATCTGAGCATGGTTGCAGTAGACGTTCGCGATTATCTGATCTTTGAACCACGACACCATCAGATCCATCCAGGTGTCTTTCGTTTTCGCTTATTCTCCGTACTTGAGCAATGAAGTCACCAGCCATTATTACTATATCAGAGTGCTTAACGTTTTGAAGAAAGTTAGAAAGGTTTGTGTAGAACCCATCTTTTATCTCGTCCGAGCTGTAGTCAGTGGGAGCGTAGACAGAGAAGACGAAGAGGCAACGGCGAGTGTCCCTATCTTTCCGAGTCCTTACTGTCCCGTTTAGTTGGACAGCGCATTAGCGACTGTCTGCTTGGATCCAGTCTAAGAGAGCTAGTTCTACCCTAGGACTTAATGCTATACCTACTCCAGCGAGGCCATAGGAAGCAGCATCAGGGCTTTCAGACACACGAAGCGTAAATCGTGTTGTTGTTGTCATTCCATAATGTCTTCAAATCCAGTGTTGTCCATACCAACCTCGGCACTTAGTTCTCCCGTTAGAATGGTCAAATTATTTCGTGAGCATGTCTACGATTGACTGCAGTCTTTCGTAGAATTGGTCTTTAACTTCTTCATTGTAGTCATTGATAGGTGCATAGCATTGCATGCCATCCTTTGTAATGCCCTCTTTTTTGTTTTGAAGGATGACTGATGATCCTGGGTCCATAAGATTCCCATTCTATCAGTGTCTTTTGCGCTTGTTTGGACAGCATCATTGCAACTCCTAGTATATATGAAGCATTTTTTTTCTTCATGACCAGAGTATAACAGCAGCTGTCCTGAAGCTAGTCTTAGTTGTCCAACTTGAGTCCAGTGCGTTTCGTTGATTCCTAGCACCTCCAAGTTGTATCTTTTCATTTGTGCGGCAACTTAGAATAGTCTTCCGGTCTGCCACAATGTTCGAAAACTCCATGTACCTAAGAGAATGGTTACTTCGGTAGTGAGAAGGGGCATCGGCCTTGTGACTTTTGAAGGAACTCGGCTTTCATCATGAGTCGTCAGAGCGCTTCAGAATGAACGCTTCTGAAAGAAGACCTAACTCCTACGGCAGAGTTAAAATGGTTTGAATTGTTTTTACTGATTAGCGTTTTTTTGGCGAGTTAGTTTTTTTATGGGATGGGGTCGCCAACCTCATGCCCAACCCTCCTTTATCCGGGCCTGGGACCGGCAGTAGCCTCAGAGAGGCTTTAGGCGGAGTTATCTTTTATTTTCATGGTTATTTTAACTAAACTTTTGGTGAAGAATCGCTTCAAATCCCCAGATGCAATAAGCGTTGAATGAGATTACTAGTCGACTTTCAGTTACAAGAGTTCGTATTTCAGGAAATATTCATTAATTTTCATAGAGACATATATTATCGGCGAAGGTTATTAAAAAATACTACCATTTCACTTTAAAAACCACAGACCATATACATCTGGACAGGTTCTAATGAGGTTATTTTTATTTATTTGTCTGTGTAAGGTACATTAATCAATTATCGGCAAAGTTTTCTTTGATAACAATAATGGTATTTTTTTAGCCATATTTTGATTTTCCCTAAATGACTGGTTCTCACTCCTCGACCTTTGACATCGGCTTTTGGTAACGGAAGCTACTTAAATTCAATTGCAAGACATGAACATATTTTGTTAATAAGCACTTCCTGTAGGTTTATATAAATTGCTTTTTGGACCTCACTTTGAGAATTCTAAAATTAATTAGTGTAAACTGTATGTATCTCTTTAAGGGTTTATAAGTAGTGAAACACTTTAGTGAATGTTATCTTGTACTGTAAAAAAGACTGTGAAATTGTATGGATATATTATATTTTCTGATAAAATTACAAATATTTATCACCTTTCTCTGTACTGAAGGAACTAAAGCTACACATATATATGAATTGTAATACTGAGGTACTCTGTACATATCTGTTTACAATCTGTGTGGTTTTAATCATTGCTTATTGCTATAAGAAGTTAAATTTTAATATTTCTTACTAAAAATATTAAGGGGAGATTTGCACCTGCCACCTGGTGTTCGCGTGCTACATGTAGAACAAGAAGTTGTCGGTGATTCCACACCAGCTTTGGAAAGCGTTCTTCAAGCCGACGTAGAAAGACACACACTTCTTATTGAATTGTCTCGTCTTCAGGCAGAAATGAAAAAGAATTCCGGCTCAGATTTAAGCTTATCTAGTAGTACAAGTACAATAGAATCACGGGTTGCAGAGATTTATTCTCGCTTGAATGCAATCGAAGCGGATAAGGCTCCAGCTCGAGCCGCAGTCGTTCTACACGGTCTTGGATTTACTCCAGAAATGCAGGTTCGTTGATAAACACATTGTTAAATTTTACTTTGAAACAATATATAAGTGAACAACTTTGTTGTTGATTAGATTTTCATTAAGATCTACTCCAATACACATTAATATTATATTCATATGTGAAAATATTAAGTTGATCAAGACAGTTTATCAGTTGATTATAATAAATAAATACATTATATAACCAAATTGATAGTATGATGCCAGTTGTGTTAGTTGAGATCAGAATAGTAAAGACTTGAGTCAAATTTTTCAACATAGAAATTAGATAAAAAAAACTTAGGAAGTAGGCAGTATAATATCATTCATTAAGAGTTAGTAAAATTATGTTCTACTGAGTAGACTCACTGGGGCCGTAAAAAGTGTTATATTCAGTTAATCTGTCTGTCATTTTTCTAGTCGACATATTGTGGTTCCTTAGCTAAAGTATGACTTATTTCACTTGACTTATCCATGTGTATCTATGAATTCAGTTGTTCATGCAGAGAAGGCCACATCGGGCGTCAGTTAGTTAGTTACAACGTAGAACTTCGTATGTACGTACATAAATTCAGGTCGCCATACCAGATGATCTCGCCAACGAGTTATTGAGCACGTTTCACGGTTAATTCAAGGTTTGTCAAAGAAAAATACATAACTCCATTCTATCACGCTTGGTCGATAGTGGTCATGTAGTAGACAAAACCAATAATTGGGGGTATTGTATTAAGTTACTAGCCAGAAATTTGAATGCTGTTTTTACTTTGGTGTGTCGAGCAGTCAATCAGTCAGCTACAACGTAGAACTTCTTACGTACGTACATCAGTCCAAGTTGTCATACCATATTAGCACAGAGACGAAATTGTCAATTCAAATCCCTTACTAGTAGAGGTATTAGAAGTATTAATTGTAATCGGAGAGATTAGGGTTCGAAGATATTATACAGAAAGTGTAATTCAATGAAATAAATTTGAAAAGGTCCTGAGCTCACGAGATCATGAGAGAAGACAAAGAGTGGGTGCATCTGCGCCATCGCAAACGATTTTGAGCCATGTGTATTTGTGTTCTATGACTTGGTGAAGTATAAATATCTTGTCTTATAGCAGTATATGTAAATGTATCGTTCAAGTTCATGAATCTGTATAGGTTTCTAAGTCCCATCATAATTATTTGGTGACACCACTAGGTTGTAATAACCAGCTGTCTTATCTAAGAATAATTTGAGGTCTATATTTTGATGACTTCCATCTTTAGACCAAGATAAATGTATTTCAGGATATACCCTGAGAAACGCTTAAGCACTGCCTGGTCTCAGTTTCCAGTTAAGAACCGGTCATAGTTCAGCTTGGGATTCTGAGAATTACGTTTATCAAGTTGATTTATATCATAAAATTACTAGGTCAAAAAGTGCTTGTTCTGTGATTAAAATATATAAATTATTTGGTAAGCGTTATCTGTTGTTTATAATATGTGTTTAATAGTAAAGACATCTTACTCATTCACTTTCATTTTACCTTGTAGAGTAAACCAACAAAAGAATTTTCCGGTGGATGGCGTATGCGTCTAGCCTTAGCACAAGCACTTTTTGCGAAACCAGACCTACTTTTGCTTGATGAACCTACCAATATGCTTGATATGCGCGCAATAATTTGGTTAGAAGACTATTTGCAGGTAGAGTTTTTTCTGTACTTAGTTTTCTTTTCAATCTGATCTTATGCAATATGAAATAATATTAGAAACAAAGATTTAGAGGAAGCTAACTAATGAATGCGTCTACTGTACAGCGATCAGCTTTAAGTCGTGTCATGTGAGATTTCTAACCGATAAATACAATTATCTTACGAGTTTTGACCACATAGTTTGCATCTCTGCACATTCAATAATTTATAGCTTCACGTTCGCGCTTGGCCATCCTTTTCCAACTCATTCTTATGCTCCTCAGCTGAGCATATCGAGGCAAGTGTTAGTTAGGGAGTATAATACGAACACTCAGCTACCTCATCTGGAGACACATTGAGTAGAAGGTAATCACAGAACTTGGAGACTGAGTCTTGTAAGACTTTTCGACAATATAAAAGAGGTAGCTAGTGTTATTTTGTTGACAGACGCTAATCACCTAACATAAGTTTAGTTTGCAGTTATATAATAATAATTGGTTGTTCAAAGCAGGTTATGTTTACTGCTATCATAAGATCCAAAGATTTCTAGGCATCAGTTCAACTCAAACTTTGGTTCAGTGCAATCGCAGACAAAATAATAGACCATACGAAACGAAATGACTATTTTGAAGAGATAGTTGAGAGAGAATCATGTTATCAAAATAAGATTAAACTGTAATAAAAGTTGAGTTCAATTGTGAAAAATGTTTTGTTCAGTTACAAAAGGTGCATCCTAATTATTACTTATGGTGAGTCCAATAGAAGACAATGGCAGTATCGCTATTGAATTCTAGTTTAAGCCATCACTGAGTTGAGCAATTTCTAAAACCCATCAAAACAGTCGTGATGCATCAACAGATAGAGATACAGGTGCATTCATTCTTTATATTTTAAATTTTAAGTTTAATCTAATCCTCTACTTTACACTCTCCGATGCTTCTGAACTGTATTCATGGGTGTAGTTTTCAATTAACATTGATATTACTTTATTTTCTAACAAATAATCTCTTCCATAAATTTTGATAGAGAGATGGAGAAGATAGAGTCCAATTGAAAAATATGATGCATTGATGCTACATATTTCGAATGATCTGGTCACATATACTTGTCAAGCATTTATTCAAACTAACGAAGGTCAATTAAAGAACAGCCCTAATAAACATAAAATGATGATTTTAAATAAAGGAGATGAAAAATTCATATAATATGAAAAGTATAGGACAGTGTTATGCTAACCTAGGCCATAGAATGACTTAAAGATTACCAGAACATATTCACACATATAAGGGATCCAAATTAGCGAATACCCAAGACTTCTATCAACCTCAGGTTTCTTCCTTGACAGTTCTTATATGACATTTCAAAAGCTGTATTGATATCACTTCTACGATCCATTTCAGTTACATGTTTTGCTATCAATAAACAGTCCTTGCTTCGTACGTTTATTTGAATGTTCGAAGCTAACTGATTTTGGAGTCATCTGGGTATATGCTCCTCGACCTTTGATTGTAATGTCTGACCACTTGTCCTGATATATGTGTTTCCTGAGAAGCATATGAATTGGTAAATGTTGTGGAATGTTATGTGATCGTTTGTGCAATGTCTAGGCCTATATAGAATCATGGATTTGGTTTTCTCAATAACTACAGATTTACAAGCTCAGTATGTTTTCTCGATGTCTGTTCAAAACTTATACCATTTAACTCCCCTAAATCTCAATGTGACATAAACCCTTTTCTCTGCAACAAAATTAAGAAATGGTTTTGGGATCGACTGACATACACTAAGATATAAACGTCAAGGGGTAATTTACTTAATAATCCATCCAGTCCTGAAGTTGGTGATTAATTTGTTGGTTATATTAAGTTTATGAAGAACGAACTATGTTTATTCCCATCTTCTGTACTAGTGTGTTTTAGTAACAGCCTTAATAGTATTGTTACGGTTAATCCTGTTATTTGTTATTCATTCTTGTTTATTTTAACATTGTCAAACTCTTCAAGTTATTCGTGTATTCCACTACACTATTTGATTGTTTGATGGTTATTTAAAGTGGATATTTTTTATTCTCGATGGCGCAATACGAATAGGTGCTTAGTTTTTTTTCGTAGCGTCATCTGTTAGCTTAGAATCGATTATTTTGTTTTCAAAGATTTTCTAGTTTGTTTTTCTTGAAATTTCATTATATTACTCATTTTACTTATACTTGATTATTATTTTTTTGATAGTCCTCTTCCAACATCCTTTTGATTGTCTCACATGATCGAAGTTTTTTGAATACAGTTGCAACTGATATCATTCATTTGAATTGTAAGCGTTTAGATGCATATCGAGGCAATTATGATACATTTGAACAAGCTCGTGCTGAAAGATTATTGAATCAACAAAGGGAATATGAGTCTTTGAAAGCTGAACGAGAACATATACAAGTGAGTTAAGTTAGAGTAGTCTGTATGAGTAGGCAATTTCTTTATTATCATCATCCTATTTCTACATCTCTGACCAATAAAGTAATTTTATTTACATGTTTTTCATACGAAACTATTTAAATTATAATATAATATGTGAAATCAAGTTTTTAAGGATGCACACGGTAAATACGTTATCTTACTAGGTGAGGTAATCTGGAAAGTACAATAATTCTATAAAAAAAGTAGGTATCATTACCAAGGTTTTATTTAATAATTTGAAATAATTTGAGCATTAGATGAATCGTTAATTTTGTAATATTCCAATGTATAGAAAAAAAGTAGAAACTTTATCTGACATTTCATGACATTGTGTAAACCACTTCTTTAACAAATTAAATTAACACAAGTTTAAATAGTACAAAAGATCAGAGCGAAAAATATTTAATTCAGTTAATCAAAAATCAAGTTCGACTAAGTGGTTGTCCAGTCAAATTGATTGAATAAAACATATTGGTGTAGTTGTGTGTGTGTGTGTGTGTCAATAGGTGTGCAATTTTTCTACTCATTGGGATATTATTTATTACTTGTTAATGATGTTCTCCTTTGATCTTTAAATTTAGTTGTATAAGAATTAATTGTAATTTGAAATTTTATTCTGGTCTGTCTCACTAAATTTCCAGTTAAATGGTATACGAGACTGTGTACTATGATTATTCGGATGGTTCTTGTAGTTAGTTCAGTGTATTTATTTGCTTTACGCCAAGTGAACTGCTAATTTCTCCAATAGTTCATATTCTTGATAAAATCATAAAATTTGTTTGTTGGTAAAAATGTTCACAGACTATTGTATTTAAATTTTCTCTTTACTGCCAAATATTACAAAGAAACCTAACAATTCTATAATGTGACTTATCTACTAAGATTGCAATTATGTATGCTGCCTAACTGTTATCAAAAATATTTCTTAAGGTTTAAAGTATGCTCTGGTTAGAGATCGTTGTCTAAGTGATAAATCTTGTTTGATTAGTTAAGTCATATTCACTTATATAGTTCAATTTAAATTATGTATATTTTTTTCTTTCATTTTATATTCTTAGCAATTTATAGATAAATTTCGTTACAATGCAAAACGTGCATCTCTTGTACAAAGTAGAATTAAGCATTTAGAAAAATTGCCACCATTAATACCTCCGGAAAAAGAATTAAAAGTTGTAATTCGTCTGCCAGATTGTGAAAAACTTTCACCACCTCTTTTACAACTTGATGAAGTATGTTTTCATTATGTGCCAGATAGACCAATTTTGAATCATGTCAATTTGAGTATCTCGCCTGATTCACGTATCAGTATTGTAAGTTATTTTTGAGACAAATAAATTATATTAATTATACTCAGTATTTATTCAAATGTACACTTATTTCGTTAAATAGGAACAATTAAAAACTGATTATATATATATATATATATATATATATATATATATATATATATACTTAAAGGTTACTAATTTTGTGGGATCAACATTAACAGAGTGGTGGTAAATACTCCACATAAAAGTACAAATTACTATAACGGTAAAAAAGACCAATGAACAAATAAGGAAGAGTAATCTACAATACACTACTCTTAATTGTGAGCCAAAACAGTATTTGATAACGTTTCAAATAATTGATTTACACCATATTTAGAACCTCAATCAGAGAGCCTTGATGGACCAACGAGCACCAGCCACTTATCGACTTTTTTTCATACCACGACACTGTGTAGTAAACTGATCACCTCTCCACTTTTTCCAACCAGCCTGAGCATTCGAAAATGATGCACAATATAAAAACTGCTGGGATGACATTTGTAATACATGTCCAAGCCTCCGAGTTTGGTGTTCTAAAGTGGTGTTGCTCCACTACTTAGGGTGGAGCTCATTAGTAGTATGCAGCAGATGTTCAGCAGTGTCTGCCTGGAGTTACGGCCGAAGAACAAAGTGTCGGATGCGGATTTATGGTGCGATATGGGTGTTTTGAGGAGTAAAAGATATGTTGAAGAAGGCAGTCTAGAACACGTTTGCTTTGAAAATGGGTGTTTTGTGATAAGGTGTACCTGTTGTTTAGTAGTAGATTCTATCTAGACTTCCGTTTTTATTCAATACAACACCAATTGAATTGTTTTTAGTGTGCCTCCATGCACAGTGCCGAACTTCCACTTTTTTAATATAGTGTTGCTACTGAGTGCCAGCTATCCCTCAGAGACAATGATATACTAACACAGTCACCTTATATCTTCAACTTACAGAAGCTAGGTTATGCAAGCCTATGACAAAACTACTCTCATGAATGCCTTGTAAACAATTTGTTTTATAGCTAGACTAACGTCATGACTCCAAAGATGGCCTAGATTGGCATAATCCACTCTAGCTTTCAGGTAGATTGATTTTATCTAGCATGTTACCACAAACGCTCAAACAAGTGCCCTAACTTTTTGACTACTTCTAACACTTAACTGTGAAAGTGAGTGGCGAAAATTCACTGAACAATTGTCAACCAATATCATGGATTTTGCATTCATTCCTAACAAAAGCAATCTTAGTTTATTCTTACTTTTCAGAACTTTTCTTTTGGATTACTAATACATTTCCTCGGATTTTTTATACTTCAAATATTATTGTTAGTTTCATCTAGTAAATTATGTTGATTAATCTTTGTTGACTGTTTTCTTTTTCAGGTTGGTGAAAATGGTGCCGGTAAAACGACATTACTTCGACTTCTTCTAGGTGAGTTAGAACCAACGTCAGGATTACGCCATGCACATCGTAGTTTACGTATTGGCTACTTTAGCCAACATCACGTTGATCAGTTAGATTTAAAATTAAGTAGTTTGGAATTTTTGATGAGAAAATTCCCAAACCAAACGGAACAAGTTTATCGTTCTCAACTGGCAAATTTTAATATAACAGAAATGCTTGCTCTTCAACCAATTGGTAGTTTATCAGGAGGACAAAAATCAAGAGTTGCATTTGTTGCAATGTGTATGTCCAAGTAAGTTTTAATTTTTTTTAACATGGACAAATGACAGTTGTTTTTATTCCGGTAATCACATTAAATAATACATTAATAGGTTGTACAGTGTTAAACCACTCAATACAGTGTCTAAATTTTCTATTCATTGTTCAACCTTTATAGTGTTCATGTAAAATTTTTACAAAGTACTAGTGTCTATCATAATAATTGTAGAAATATCTCTAATGAGCTCATATATAATAACTTGAGTGACTGTATTATAACTGTACAGTATAACACAGCAGACCACTATATTTTCTACATAGGAAACAGATAGATACGAGAATAAAAAATCTTAAACAAAAGTAAATCATTTCAAATTGTCGTATTTTTCACAGGGGGAAGTATAATCAGTAAAAGAAATGAAAAAATGTTGCAAATGAAGGTGAATAAATATAATAAAGAATGGGAGAATATTCAATTGTTATCACTCTCAATAATTCGAGTGGTAGTGGTTAGAGAATGGAGTGCACATATGTTGAACGCACAGGGCTTGTACACCAGCCTTTGCACAAATTAATTAACCCATTCTTCTCGAGTTATTATTCACACGGTTTTCAACCTTGTAAATTACTCGCTTATAACCCTGGTAGTTTTTATTTGAGTGTGTGTGTGTATGCTTACTTGGCTTATCACATGTTTAGCTTATTTCGTTTGACTATAAACACTTCGTCATGTCTAGTTACATTGAATCGGCTCACTCTCCCTCTCCAACTCGCTTCGTATTGTCACGTCTGCCTGCGTGAACGATAGTACGAAATTCATCCACAAAACTGTATTTGGCTTCTTCTTACCACCGTCACGCAAACGGGATTCGCCTAAGTCTGATTTATGGATATTGAAGGGAAGATTTATCTCGTAGCCTATTCGATCATTCGTCGAGACTGGGGTCAGATCGCGGGCCACTAAAATGGTTGGCCCTGCTACTTCGAATTCGACGCCGCCACTAGAACTTATCAGGTGTAAATGCAAATACATAATCAAGACTCTAAATAATTGCAAACCAATCCGCTTAACTATTATGCTCCACATCTGTCCTATCACTAATAGTAGAGTCCAGTGGTTGAAAATTAAAATCCTAAATCATTCAGCAATAACTACAGTCTATTAAAACACATAAAGATGAAATAATAATATGCGACACATACATGTTTGAAGCACTCATATGTTATAAGAAAAAGGCTATGTGTAAATGAATCTAAAAAACGGTGAAATATGGATTTTTCATAAATTTTCTCTTATTGATCTTTGATTAACTAGTTGGCGAATAACATGAATCAATTAATGTTGAAATTTTAACTTTGACTGATGCATACATTTGCTAGACTAATTGAAATGATTTTATCAGTTACGAATATTCTGATATTATATGGTTGTCCCACATGTACATTTAATCATTAACTATAGGTAAACGTGGTCTTGTTTGTAAATTTGAATTCACTTGTGTAAAACGTTGACATATTTCTCATTATTTAAACAAACGTACCTAGAAAATTTATTTATTTATCTTTTCAATTTTTAGTCCAAATATGCTTGTTCTTGATGAACCAACAAATCATCTGGATGTAGAAACAATCGCAGGCTTATCTGATGCTTTAGTTAATTTTCCCGGTGGAGTTGTACTTGTTTCACACGACGAACGCTTAATTCAAGCCGTGTGTAATGAAGTATGGGTGTGTACACGCATGGGCATAAGTCCTGTAGACAGTGCTAAAGGAAGTCGTGTTTATTCACTACCAGGTGGCTTGGAAGAATACAAAAAAGCTGTTCGAGTTGAATTGGTTCAATCAAAATTGTAATCGATTAAGATGTAATTTGTATAAAATATTCTAATATTTTATTATAATGTAACTCTTCACAAGATGGATTATAATTTTGGCTGTGCTTCATTATTCTCCACCTGTTTGCTTTTAGTGAAATTCTTTGATTCAGAATAAATATGGCTTATTTTTGTTTGTTTTATTTATTCAGCTGCATTTGTTTACTATCTTTTGTTAAGACATCATATTCAACTAGTTTATCAAACAGTGTGTGAAAAATAACTGTACAGCTTTAGTAAATGATATCACCAACAAGAAAATCTTATTCGTGGAAACACTAGGTTTCTTTCGCTATTTTAAAGCCACAGTCTTCATTTGTTCAACTGTAACAGTAGTATAGAGTACGATTCACCAATCATTGGAGGGTTTCTAATCACAAAATCTCCTATAGCATAACATATTCATTAGTAGGACTCTACCAAGGATGGGTTAAGTAGTATACTACACAAATATGCCAGTACGTATGCTGTTCATAATAACCGAAACTCTATTATGCCACTCAGTTGCTAAACTCATACAGGCAAATTACAAATATACAACAGAAGTCTTAAATGCAAGCAGTAATCTATCGTTTATTGCTAATAACAAGTTTGATAATTTTACACAATCCATTGGCGTTTGTTTTTTATTGGTTTTCGAATAAAGTGCGAAAGATAAACCACATCATTTGAAGAAATAATTTAAGCGAAAGAAATAAAAGACACAAAACTGAACGGAATCGATAATAATAATAATAATGGCCGAAAGTGAGGATATTAAGGGAAAGAATGATAGAGAAACACAGTGTGTTTAATTACATTTCACAAAATGTACATCCAATATTATATATATATATATATATATATATATATATATATATATATACATAATTTGCATAGACAATTGGATGATGATTAAATTAAAAAAAAATAATAACGAAAGACATCAGTTAAATTAATGTAATATGCATATAATAAAGTCAGTGAATCTGATGAGAAAATGTTTGGATTTTATAAACGATAACAAGTAGGAGGGGGGTGGGACAAATAGTTGATAATTAAAAGTTAGCAGGGTCATCTATCATTTTTCATAATTTCTCTGCACATTTTCTGATGTGTGCGCGCGCATTAGACGGAATTAAAAAAGAAAAATAAACTTTGACCATTTGTTACATTCTATTTTTTTTCTTTTTTTTTTACAGACCATAAGTATTCTTCCATTTTTGTTCGTCTTCAATTTTAGCTTCAGGTCTTAGTTGATTACGTAAACCACCGAGAATGTTTGCTGTTACCTGTAAAAATCGATGGTAATAAGAGGAAGTGATAATAATGATAATTCGACGTACAATATATGAAATACAAATTGAACAGGAAATACTTTGTGAAAAGATTTCTAAAGAAAGATTACGATTTTTAATGATCTTTACTATATAATAAAGATTATTATTATTATTATTACAGATAATAAGCTAGGAGTGATTTTCAACCTATCAGATTCTAGCTCAATTTGATCACTCTAAAGAAAGAAGAATCATTTTCACTAAGATACAACTCATTATATAGATTTAGTTTTGTAAGCAGCAACATAGCCTATGTTGTGCGGTTTCACGAGTTTAATACTAATCTAAAAGTTCCCAATACGCGAGCCCGATCAGCTAGTTGAATGAGGAAAGTAGGAGTGAGCAGGAAATCTTTACTAACTAATCAATTCGACCGTGTATGTGCCACTGTTTCATAAATATGGATGCACGTCCATCGGGAAGTGATGTTATAGTTTCAACCAGTAGTATGCGCTTGCTAGTGCTTCTCATCTGACTTTTGTTTGATTGGTCCAATGTCTCGCCTTTCCTGAAAAACAAGTTTGACGTTTTGAATACTGAGAAAAACCAGCGAATAGAAACTCTCGAAAACGTGTGGCGTAGTTGT